GAATTGTAATGGTAATATCTGATATGCAGGATTTATTTTCATTCACTGGACCACATTTGGCATAAATACGCGATACACCCAAATTTGAATACTGGTGGGGTGGGGGATAGGGATTAATTTTGTTATTTGGGAGTTGTAGTTGCTGGGATTTATAGTTCACCTACAATCAAAGAGCATTCTGAACTCCACCAATGATGGAATTGTACCAATCTTGGCACACAGAACTCCCATGACCAACAGAAAATACTGGAAGGGTTTGGTGGGCATTGACCTTAAGTTTTGGAGTTGTAGTTCACCTATATCCAGAGGGCACTGTGGACTCAAACAATGATAGATCTAGATAAAACTTGGCATGAACACTCAACATGCCCAAATGTGAACACTGGTGGAGTTTGGGGAAAATAGACTTGACACTTGGGAATTGTAGTTGCTGGGATTTATAGTTCACCTACCAATCAAAGAGCATTCTGAACCCTAACAATAATAGATTTGGGCCAAACTTCCCACATAGAACCTGAATGATCAACAGAATAAATAAAACTACTGTGTTTCCTGATGGTCTTTGACGACCCCTCTGATAACCCCTTGCGACCTCCCCAGGGGTCCCGATCTCCATGTTGAGAAACACTGCCTTAGCAGGTTAGAGAGTTGGGTCCAAACAAAATGAATGTCAGTAGGGAGAGTTGTACGATGCTATATTTAGGCCATAAAATGAAATGCGGAGATACAGAATGGGTGACCCATGGCTTGAAAACAGTCAATGTGAAAAGGATCTAGGAGTCTCAGTAGAGCACAAGCCGAACATGAGTAAACAATGTGATGAGGCAGGTAAAAAGGTATTGGGATTCTAGGCTTCATCAATAAGAGTATAGTCTCCAGATCGAAGGAAGTCATATAGCCCCATTCTCTTCTGCTTTGGTCAGACCACACCTGGGGGAGTCTCCTTCTCTGGAGGTTTTTAAGCAGAGACTGGATGGCCATTTGTCAGTAGGGCTTGGATTGTGTCTTTCTGTGTGACAGAAAGGGGTGGGACTGGCTGGCCCTTGGAGTCTCTTCCAAGTCTACAGTTCTCTGCCTCACTGGGAAGGTGCCAGAGACTTCCCTGCCTTTCTGTTCTGTTCCTGAAGTTGAGTACCAAACCGTTTCCTCTGATTTCAAGATACTTTCAGCTCCTGCATCAGAGTTAGAAGCTGCGCCAGAGCTTGTCCCTGTCCATTGGATGAGATGTTAAGGACGCAGTCCACATCTACCTGCGTTTCCTTTGCCCGCAGGCACCCGACCGACGATGAGTGTTTCAATTCTCTTGCCAGCTCCATGAATGCACTGCCCACTGCCATTTCAACTGCGATCACAACAGGGGGAAAACTGCTTGGAATAAATGTTTGTTTCATTTTTTAAGAGGGGAAAAACACTCCTGCAAGGATCTGAGTTGCTATTGCTTTCTTTCCTTTTTTTCTCCAAAGGAGAACAAAAAGAGGGGTGATAATCTTTGCCCACTCCCCAGCAGACAAAAATGCAACGAGGAGAAAATACATCATACATTCTTCTTTTTTTGCAATGCAAGTTGACTAAGGAGTCCTGCTGGAAGACCTAAACATTCCTAAATATTCCATTTGTCAATAGTGGTCCACGCCTTAGTTACCTCTAGATTGGACTATTGTAATGCACTCTACATGGGGCTGCCCTTGAAGATGGCCCCGAAATTTCAACTGGTCCAACGAGTGACAGCCAGACTACTAACTGGTGCGAATTACAGGGAGCGGTCAACCACCCCCCCGCCCCCCCTATTTAAGGAGCTCCATTGGCTGCCGTTTATTTTCCGGTACCAATTCAAGGTGCAGGTTATTATCTACAAAGTCCTGAACGGTTTGGGACCCACCTACCTCCGTGACCGCATTTCCTTTTACGAACCTATGCGATCCCTTCGATCTTCAGGAGAGGCCCTTCTCTCGCTCCTGCCCCCATCGCAAGTGTGACTTGTGAGGACGAGGGAGAGGGCCTTCTCTGTGGTTGTCCCTCGGCTCTGGAACTTGCTCCCCAGAGAAATTAGGCAAGCCCCCACCCTGCCAGTCTTTAGGAAGAGCTTGAAAACTTGGTTGTTCCAGTGTGCCTTCAATGAATGAATGAATGAACAATAATCCATGACCTGACCAAACCTGGTATAAAATGCCCTCGGAAGCACTTTATCTTACCTGCTAGTGCAATTAAACCCTACTTTCGTCCCTTGGATCCCCTGTCCAGATACTTTACACTGCTCTCTCACCCAATGTTTTTAACTTTTTAATCTTTGCAACTGGCCCTGCCCACTGTGATACTTTTCTTTTTCTTTTTTGTGTTCAATTATTGTGATTTTATATTGTTTGATGTGTTTATTTATATTGTTTCTTGTATTTATTTTATTTCATTATATTTTACTGCTGTATTCTTATGTTTTTTTTCTGCATTGCTGTATTGTTGGGCTTGGCCTCATGTAAGCCGTCTCGAGTCCCCTTGGGGAGATGGTGGCGGGGTATAAATAAAATTTTATTATTATTATTATTATTATTACTCTACAGTGTAGGTGCACCCACTGTTGAAAGTTTTCTAATGAAAAGAGGCAACCGGGTTATATTTAGGTTGAACTATAATGGAATTTCAGCATCAACCCGATTCCAGGATTTACTTACAGATTGCTTAATAGCAGTGTCAAACTACTCTTATTCTACAGTGTAGACGCGCCCTCAGTCAAGACGAATGGAGTTTAGACCCAAAGTGCATCTGTGTTGTATGCTTAGAGGATGATGAGAGCTGTAGTCCAACATACCATGCTCCCAGCCCTTTGGGACATTCATAAATCAGAGCAACTTTGGGTTGAAACCAGGGATTGGGAGACAAGGAGATAAACTTATACGCTATGTGTACTCTCTTGTAACTGTCTCAACCATTCCCTTCTAATTTATAAGCCTCTCTCCAGATGAGAAAGAGAGGGAAAGAAAGACAGAGAAACATGGCAATCCATTCCTGACCTAGGGAGAACATGATTTCGGAGGTAACTGTTAAAGAAAGAGACTGCAATGTTTTGATAGTAGCATCCGATGGCACAAAACTCATTCTCCCCTATCTTTGCCAACTGTAAGGCTTTAACCTCCAAATTAGAGACAGGGTTAGACCCTCGATATTGAGGTCCCCTGGCTGCAAAGATGAAGAGTGCCCCCTGCAGATGAGATGGGAGAAGAGCAATGTGAGCCAAGACTCACTTCGGAGTCACAAAAAGAGAGCCGAGCCCAAAAGCTGTAGCCAAAGCCATGAAAAAGGGAACTTCTTCCTCCCCAGAAGCATCGTGTTGTGATATTAGTCTATATCGGAGGAGGGATGTTTTGGAAGTGGCTGAGATCCTTCACTGTGAGGAGACAGAGCCTAACTTTAAGTGCCCAGAGGTAGGGCAGCACCAACTTTTGCAAAATGCGATGTTCTGCAGTCAAATGCACATGTGCCTCTACAAAGTCCATAGGCGTATAATGCATATGCATGCAGATGAGTGTGCAAGGTGCCTATCACCGATGTCATGGCATTTCCATGCCCTTGAACCAGATACGATCGTTCCACATAATTCCAAAATGCCCAGCTGCTTCCAAAAGGGAACTTAAGACACAAACACACCAACGAGACACTAGACACCTGTTTCACAGAAACTTGCATCACCATTGCTGAGTCTGTCAACACTGGGAAGAAGTATGAACTCAAATCTACATGTTCGGCACCAGCCTTACAAAGTTCAACCTGTCTGCCAACAGTTCAGAAACTCAGCACATTAAAATATAGTGAATGGAAACCAGTTCTCATGCTATTTGCACATCTACAAAATTCCAGGGTGCATCTACACTGCAGAACAAATGCAGTTTGGCACCACTTCTAACTGCCATGGCTCAATGCTAGGGAATCCGGAAAGTTGTAGTTTCAGAAGGTCTTTTGGTTTCTCTGCCCAAGAGGTCAAGTGTCTTGCCAAAAGTGCAACTCCCCAAATCCATAGCCATGGCAGTTCATGTGGGATTAAACGGCATTCATTCTACAGTGTAGACACACGCTCTGGGGTGTGTGTGTGTGTGTGTGTAAACAAAGAATACATAACACATAATAACAGTGGGTTGCTGTGAGTTTTCCAGTCTGTATGGTCATGCTTCTGGAAAATGGCCATACAGCCTGAAAAACCCACAGCAACCCAGTGATTCCGGCCATGAAGGCCTTCGACAATACATAATAACAGTAATAATCTACACTGCAGAACAAATACAGTTTGGCACCACTTCTAACTGCCATGGCTCAATGCTAGGGAATCCGGAATTTGTAGTTTCACAAGGTCTTTTGGTTTCTCTMCCCAAGAGGTCAAGTGTCTTGCCAAAAGTGCAACTCCCCAAATCCATAGCCATGGCAGTTCATGTGGGATTAAACGGCATTCATTCTACAGTGTAGACACACGCTCTGGGGTGTGTGTGTGTGTGTGTGTAAACAAAGAATACATAACACATAATAACAGTGGGMTGCTGTGAGTTTTCCAGTCTGTATGGTCATGCTTCTGGAAAATGGCCATACAGCCTGAAAAACCCACAGCAACCCAGTGATTCCGGCCATGAAGGCCTTCGACAATACATAATAACAGTAATAATAGCAGTAGTAATACCGTTATTAGTAATACTATTAGTAACAGCAATTATAGGGGTTTTTTCGTATTAGGAGCGACTTGAGAAACTGTAAGTTGCTTCTGGTGTAAGAGAATTGGCTGTCTGCAGGGATGTTGCCCAGGGGACACCCGGATGTTTTACCATCCTGTAAGAGGCTATTCTCATGTCCCTGTATGGGAAGCTGGAGCTGACAGATGAGAGCTCACTCCACTCCCCAGATTCGAACTGCCGACCTTTTCAGTCAGCAGTCCTGCTGGCACAAGGGTTTAACCCATTGCACCACCGGGGGCTCCTAGTAATAATAGTACAGAATGCCCAATGTGGCCCACAGAAGGTCCTTACCTGAAAAGCTCTCTGATCTCCTTCACTGTCGCTTGGAAGGGAATGTTGCGCACCAGGATCTTGGAGCTCTTTTGCTTCTTGCGACTTTGTGTTTTGCGAGCTGAAGACACTGGCGACCTAATCAATCAAGACAATGGCAAATGAGTTATGCCAAGGGGCATCACTGCAAAGCATGCTTTTGCCTAAGGGGACCCCTAAGAGTAGAGAAGGGCAGAACAGTAGGGATCCTTCCAAGATTTCAGAGAAAATAAGACTAGGAACCATTGTCACTCAGAACCCAGCTCAGATGGGAAACTTACTTGATGGCTCTTTCGGAGATCTTGACTTCCAATTGATGGCCATCCACGGAACAACCCTGTGGAAACCCAAACACAGCTGAAGGAAACCCAACTGAACTGCTTCAAAATATTGCAGCATTCAGACCATTTATCTGTTAGTCCCAAGACTCCCCTCTTTTCATGTTTAAGAGTATGAAGAAGCATCTAATCCCACCTGTAGCTGCTTCAGGGCTTTCTGCGCATGCTCCGGCTTCCTGTATTCCACAAATCCAAATCCCATTGAGAGAAGCGTCCCTACAAAGTAAGCAGAGGGGCTCAGTGAGAAATCTACACAAAAGTGAGGATACTATAGGATCTCAAATCAAAGGCAGAGCTGGGGAGAATATGGATGGTTCATTAGGGAACATACCAGCTTTATCTCGCTTCTTGGAGACGGTGCAACTCTTCACAGTACCGGCTTTGGTGAAAACCTGGCCAAGAAATTAAAAAAGAAGAAATTAATCAAATATATAAGAATATTTCCAGGTTAGACAACTTAGAGACTATTAGAGCAAAGACAAGAAAGTAGGATCCTCTGAGAAAGAATCCTATTGGGATAAAATAATGTCAACGTAAAAGAAAACTATTATGAAAATTTATAAGAAACTAATAATATAACAATAAATAATAATACTTTATTTATATCCCACCACCATCTCCCCGAAGGGGCTCGGGCGGCATACAAGGCACTCCAGGGTGCACATATAACACAACAGGTAAAAATGGTACAAAAGTATAAAACAAGTCACATAAAATTATAACAACAACCTCCCGTAACACATGTTGCATAACATCAATACAATTTTAAAACAATAGTAGATAAAACTAATTGCCGACAATTCACAAGGTACCAAGTGTCAGCTTCCTATGGGCCCATTCAGCCTACTCAATGTCAAAGGCCTGTCTCAACATCCATGTTTTCAGGTTGGAATGGGAGGATGGAAGGGTGGGGGCTAATCTAATCTCTTTTGGGAGGGTATTACAGAGCCAGGGGGCCACCACAGGAAAGCCCTCTCTCTTGTCACCCACCAACCGTACTTGAGACGGTGATGGGACCGAGAGGAGGGCATCCCCTGTTATCTCCGAGCTCATGCTGTTTCGTAGAAAGAGATGCCGTCTCAAAGATAGGTTGGACCTAAAGCATATCGGGCTTTATAACCACTACTTGAGTAGTTGACAGAAACAGAGCAAGTAAAAGATTGTATGGTCAAATGGGCAATTAAATTGGAGGAAAGGTGAAAAATTAGGAGTTGGAAACTAAAATATACATATGTGTATGATCTGAAAGAGAACTGGTACAAAATGATGTACCAGTGGTATATAACCCCACCCCAAAATTGACTAAATGTTACAAAAATATGCAGGACAAATGCTGGAAATGCAAATCCCAAGTGGGTTCTTTTTACCATATGTGGTGGACCTGCAAAATAGCAAAGAAATATTGGAAGGAAATACCAGAAAGAATTCAAAAAACATTGGGAATAAAAATACAATTGAAACCGGAATATTTTTGATTGGGCACTACAGATATGGACTTGGATAAAAATAAAGATATACTTTCCTTTTTATAAAAAAAATACCGTATATACTCAAATATAAGCCGAGTTTTTCAGCCCTGTTTTTGGGCTGAAAAAGTCCCCCTTGGCTTAAATTCGAGTCAAGCCGGGCAGCAGAGCCTGGAGGCTCCGAAGCCGGCTGGCCTTTGCCTCCATGAAGCAGGCCGGAGGATGATGACGAATGGAAGTGGCAGGGGAGCCCACAGGTGAGCCTTGACTCTGCCTTCATCCTCTGGCAGGTGAAGCAGCTGACGAACACACCCACTGCTGCTTCTGAAGAAGCCACACCAGGCCTTCGGCTTTCAGCCTTCGGCCAAGTGAAACGTTGCCGTTTCCAGCGAGGTCACATGTGGCCTCTGTCTTCAGCCTCCAGGAGTGGCACAGCATGGCCCACACGCACTGTTGGGCACAGCTGGGGCCCAACGGAGCATCTGGCCTGCGCTGCACCACTCCTGGAAGCTGAAGACAGAGGCCACAGGCGACCTTGCTAGAAGCCTTGCCGGAAGCAGTGGGGGGACGCTCACCAGCTGCGGAGGATAGTGCAGGCCTCTGCAGCCCCAGAAGTCAGGAAGGCAGGCTGCTGCGAGCGGAGGTCCTCCTCTACTGCCTCGGCTGCATCCTCCATTTGCTACTTATGCCAGTGCAGGCCTGCGCTGGCTGTGGAGGTCTGCGCTGGCATAAGCAGCGAGTGAAGGATGCAGTGGCCTGCCTGACAGACTGACTTCCAGGCCCAGGAGGTACCATACTTTGATTGTGCTTTTGCTGTATGAAGACAGAAGGGCATTGGACTAGATGGCCTTTAGAGCTCCCTTCCAACTCTATTATTATTATTATTAGTAGTAGTAGTACTATTAAGGCTGGATGGCCATCTGTCTGGGGTGCTTTGATTGTGCTTTCCCTGCATGAAAGCAGGATGAAGTGGGTTTGACTAGATAGACTTTAGAGCTCTCTTCCAACTCTATTATTGTTATTAATATTCATATTAATATTAAGGCTGGATAGCAATCTGTCCAGGGTACTTTGATTGTGCTTTCCCTGCATGAAAACAGGATGAAGGAGGTTTAACTAAATGACATTTAGAGTTTCCTTCCAACTCTATTATTATTATTATTATTATTATTATTATTATTATTATTATTATTAAGGCTGGATGACCATCTGTCAGGGGTACTTTGATTATTCTTTCCCTGCATGAAGGCAGAATGAAGGGGGTTAGAACAGATGGCCTTTATAGGTCCCTTCCAACACTATTAATATTAATATTAAGGCTGGATGGCCATCTGTCGGGAGTGTTTTGATTGCGTTTTCACTGCAAGAAGGCAGAATGAAGGGGGTTGGACTAAATGGCCTTTAGAGGTCCCTTCCAACTCTTGGATTCTATGAAAGGAGTCTTCATTGACCACGAGCCAACAGTGTAATGCTGCAGCTGAAAAGGCCAATGCCGTTTTAGGCTGAGTCAATAGGAGAACCTGAGAGAAGGCAAAAGGGAACTGATATGACACTCTACCTCGGCTGGTTTTTGAAATGCTTTAAATGATATATTTAATGCTACTGTTTATTTTAACTTATTGTACAATGTTTCGTATTGTCTTTTGTTTAAAATGTTTATGGTTTTTTATATATATGCATTGAATTTTTGCCTGTTACTATGTTGGAAGCTGCCCTGAGTCCCCATTATTATAAAGTTATTGCTGATGCCACTGTTTTCGTTGACCCTCCTTTTCCACTTATAGAGCTAGTTTACTGGGTTTGGTTTTTTTTTTTTTGAAATATGGTAAAAAATCAAAAACCTTTAACCTACTGACACTTTAATTAATGCAATTTTATTAGTATCTATTTTTATTTTGAAATTTACCAGTAGCGACTGCATTTCCCACCCTCGGCTTATACTAGAGTCAATATGTTTCCCCAGTTTTTTGTAGTAAAATGGGGTACCTCGGCTTATATTTGTGACCGCATCTCCTACCACCAACCTGCATGATCCCTCTGATCCTCTGGGGAGGCCCTCCTTTTGCCTCTTCCTTTATCACAGGCAAGACTTGTGGGAACGAGGGGGGAAGCCTTCTCCGCTGTGGCTTCCTGACTATGGAACTCATTGCCTACTGAAATTAGGTAAGCCTCAACCTTAGCAGCCTTCAAGAAAAATCTGAAAACTTGGCTGTTCCAATGTGCCTTGGAGAGTGACCATTTACCCCATTTCTGTCCGCTCCATCCATAGTGTTGTCTCTATGATACACTTTCCCCTGTCCTAAACGGAAATCCTACCTCTATGTTTATCCTTTTTGGGCTTCCCTCAATTACATTTTTTTTAATTCCTACCTCATCCAGTTTTATCATTTTACGTTGTCCATTTGGCCTGCCCATTCTGTTTTGATTGTATGTTGTGATAATTTGCTTTATTTATGTTGTTTTGATACTGTATGTATTTTATTCTGATGCAATTTTTGTTGTCTGCAGTCTGTATTTTATTTTTGCTGTATTGTACCTTTGGGCTTGGCCTCATGTTAGCCACCCCAAGTCCCCTTTGGGGATGGTGGTGGGGTATAAATACAGTTTATTATTATTATTATTAGTACTATTATTATTATATTCAGATTGGCTTATACTCGAGTATATACAGTATGTTTATTGAAATTTTACTTATATCGATTTAAAATATATTGTGAAAAAGATAAATAAAATAATAATTGAAAAAATATAGAAAGATAAGTGCATATATAGCAAGGAATGAATATATAAAAAAAGGATTGAGGTGGGGTGTTTTTCGCTTCCGGTTTTCTTCATCATGGCATGTTTCATCTTCATCTTCCCTTTCTTTCCAGTCTTCAATTACTTATTTTAATATGAGCTTCACATCTTTGTTTCTTTCCCACTTCAGGCCGTACTCCTTTTATTCTGCTCGTGTAGATCATCACTCTTCTTCTTTCTTGTTGTAGGTAATTCCTTACTGGGCTCCAATCTATTTCTTTCTTTGGTATCCCTTGTTTGTTTGTCAGAAGCTGTGCTAATCTGTCCATATTTCTTATTTCTAGAACTTTTACTATTCATTGTTGGACTGGAGGTATTTTTTTGTTCTCCAATTCCTAGCATAGAGTATTCTCGCTGCCATTAAATAATTCAAGAGTCTCTATTTATTCTTGTCTATTTTTCTGTCTGTAATTCCTAAATTTCTGGTTTCATTTGCATTTTGGTATCCTATATTTTGGGGGATATTTCATGTATTACTTTCCAATATTCTTTTGCTTTGTTGCACAGCCACCACATATGGTAGAATGTACTGTCCTGCTTTTCACATATTTTTCAATTACTTTGTGATGGCAGCCAGAATAATCCATGCACGAAATTGGAGAATGAAAGTACCATCAATAGACCAATGGCTCTCGAAAATAATGATAATAATAATAATAATAATAATAATAATCTTTATTTATATCCCGCCACCATCTCCCCCAATGGGGACTCGGGGCGGCTTACATAAGGCCAAGCCCAAACAACAAATTACAATAAAATAAAATGCAAATTAGAATAAAATAAACAACATATACAATAAACAATATACACAAAACATTAAAAAAGAAGCAGTAAAACAAACACAGTGACAGTGAGTGGGCCACATGTACATAAAATGATTTAAAAACTCAGGGTGAGATAAAGGAGCAGAATTATTTGTAAGGGAGAAATCGTAGAGAGACAGGGTGATAGACAGACCTTCGTACAAGGTGTACGGGGGGGGGGGATGTACTCCTAATACAAGAACGTTGAGGGGAGCAATAGCTTATGATTATGTGACTACTCTCCAAAAGCACAACGGCAAAGCTAGGTCTTGAGATTCTTTTTAAAGGTTTCTAAGGTAGGGGCTTTCCTAATCTCTCTGGGCAATAAGTTCCAGAGTCAGGGGGCCACAGAGGAGAAGGCTCTCTCTCTTGTACCCACAAGGCGAGTCTGAGAGACTGGAAAGGGCGAAAGAAGGGTCTCGCCCGAAGATCGAAGAGTTTGGGTTGGTTCATGTAGAGAAATAGCCAAAGATGGACAAATGAAGCTCAGCTACCAGCACACCACCAGAGCAGTGTTAAAAAAGTGACAGATTTGACATTATTTAAAGACTATATGAAACAACAGAATATGAAAATGATAATATGGCTCAACAAAAGAAAAAGAGAGATAACTGTTTTCATTGGGAAGAAGTAGGAAAAGGGGGAGCTGAATTTAGAAAGATTTAGAACAAAGAACTTTTAACCACAATGTAGAAAATTGGAAGTCAACCAAAATCCCCCTTTGCCCTTCTATTTCCCCCCGCAACCTATATTCATATTTTTCTTTTCTTCTTTTTCTTTTCCACTCCCACATAGAGGTTAGTGGCCCCCTATATTATATTCCCATGTCCTTTTTTCCTTCCCCTTCTCTCCCCATTTTATGATACTGTATTACGTAAGTGTATTATTTTTTTTAAAAAGAACATAATAATAATAAAAAGATTTCAATGTGGGTTGGCTTTCATTCCAGCCTTGTATACCATCAATATAAGGCAACAACCAGCCCTTTGAGTCTGCAAAGAAAATTGGGACTCCAGAATAGGTAGCTTAGTAACACAAAACCTCACCTCTTTTAACGTTTCCTCTGTGGTGTTAAAATTCAGGTTCTTTACAAAAAGTGTACATCCTGGAATGCTCTCTTCATCATCATCTTCGTCGTCATCCTCCTCCTCAATCTGGCCTTTCTCTGTTTCCATTTGAGCTTCTTCATCTTTAGAGCCACCTATAAAAGGAGTGAGACCACCATTAATTCTGAACTTGGGTTAAAAGGCAGCATTGCAGCAAGCCTGCAATTGGGCCAAGCCACCCACCCCATAGTTCAAGGATAGGATCCCTACACATACCAAACCCAGATGCATACCCATTTTTGCCGGCCCTTCACTTTCCTTCCGGTCTCCTGGATTCTCAGGCTTTCTCTTTCCAGGGCCAGAAAAGACCCCCATTGGCGCCCATTCAAGGTATAACGGGATATGACGAAACTGGGAGAAATGATGAGAAAGATCATAGTTAGGTGATTGCAATCTAATACACTAAGAGAGCTCTGGGTTGGAGGAAAGGTTTTTTCTGCCATTCCAAACACTATTCAGAACCAAACTCCATCTCGCTACTCAATACCCCATAGCTGCCTATTTTACCAGAGCAGCCCTGCATCCATTCATGGGCATCCAATGGCTGGGTGAGAGTTTGGGAGAATGAGAAAGCATCTAGTTAGGTCCTCATTAGCTAAGCTGCACATCGCAAGTGCTGAACCTGACTCAGCACATAGAAGATGACTTTGAAAGGCAGCAGATCACAGGAGCTGCCTTCATAGACCTGTCAGCGGCTTATGATACTGTACACCACCGCCTTCTCCTGAGAAAAATGTATAATATCACAAAGGACTACCACCTCACCTGCCTCATAGGAAACCTGTTACAAAACAGGAGCTTTTTTTGTTGAGTTCCAGGGCCAGAGAAGCAGATGGAGGAAACAGAGGAACGGCCTGCCTCAGGGGAGCGTTCTTGATCCATCCATGTTCAACATCTACACAAATGACCAGCCACTGCCAGAAGGGACAGAGTTTCATCTATGCAGATGATCGTGCCATTACCGCTCAAGCAGGGAGCTTTGAGATGGTTGAACAGAAGCTCTCCGAAGCTCTAGGTGCTCTTACTGCCTATTACAGGAAAAACCAGCTGATCCCTAATCTATCTAAAACACAGACATGTGCTTTTCACCTCAAGAACAGACAAGCATCCCGAGCTCTGAGGATTACTTGGGAAGGAATCCCTGGAAGCCTTGCAGCTAATGTCACTATTTTGCACCTGGCTATGGGTACACAGCCAGACATTCTTTCAATCCACCCTGCCACTTTCCAATCATGACAGGGAGAAGGGATAAGGTGGCTCAATGAGTCCATGGCATGTGTGGGAGTTGCAATGGTAAAGAGAAATCTGCAACAACCACACCTGAACAGGTCACTATAAAGATAATGATATGCGTGGATAAAGTATCAGGGTGGGTCTCTGCATATGAATGACGAAGATATGCTAGGAATGACTGAGTTGGAGGATCTTCCAACAATGTCTTGTCACTTTGACCAAATTCAGGCCCTAGGCGCCTGGTCTCCCTGTTGTTACCTTTGAGTAGGCCAGCTTTGTGAAAGCCCGTTTTGCTTCTGTGGGCTCCAGAAACTCCACAATAGCCGTCACTCCTCCTTCGGGGAGCAGCACCCGCCCAAGGCTGCCGTAGGCCCCAAAGACTTCCTCTAACTCAGTTGCCTCAGTACCAGCAGGCAAGTTCTTCACCAGAATCACAGTTTTGCTCCGCTCGCTGGCAGCCTGGCCAAAAGGAGAAGGCAAATTATTATTATTATTATTATTATTATTATTATTATTATTATTTGAAAAACAACAAGATTAGTACACAGCTCTGATGACTGTTGTATGGGATCACACGTTGTACACCTCCCAAGTGTCTAGGACTGTGTGATGTATCGGCGAATAATGCTTGCAGATCCCAGTAAGGTGGCCTTTTGCAGCTGGCAGATGGTAATTTTGTCAGCACCAATTGTGTTTAAGTGCAGGCCAAGGTCTTTAGGCACTGCATTCAGTGTGCCGATCACCACTGGGACCACCTCTACTGGCTTGTGCCAAAGTCTTTGCAGTTTGATCTTTAAATCCTCATATTTTGTTAGCTTTTCCAGTTGTTTCTCTTCAATCCTGCTGTTGCCTGGGATTGCAACACTGACGACCCATACTTTGTTTTTTAACACGATCGTGAGGTCAGGAGTATTGTGCTCCAAAACTCTGTCTGTCTGAATTCAGAAGTTCCAGAGTAGTTTGATGTGTTCATTTTCTGTAACCTTTTCAAGCTTGTGATCCCACCAGTTCTTTGTTGCAGGCAGATTGTATTTGTGGCACAAGTTATAATATTATTATTATTATGCTGCCAGCATTATTATTATTATAACTGTAGGAGTCCCTGGTGGCGCAGTGGGTTAAACCCCTGTGCCAGCAGGACTAAAGACCGACAGGTCGCAGGTTTGAATCCGGGGAGAGGCGGATGAGCTCCCTCTATCAGCTCCAGCTCCTTCTGCGGGGACATGAGAGAAGCCTCCCACAAGGATGACAAAAACATCAAAATCATCCGGGTGTCCCCTGGGCAACGTCCTTGCAGACGGCCAATTCTCTCACACCAGAAGCGACTTGCAGTTTCTCAAGTCGCTCCTGACACGACAAAAAAAAAAATTATAACTGTACCCCCAATTTGCTTCTGACATAATAAATGAATAATTATTAACAATAATAATTACTACTACTAATAATAATATTAATATTATACTATATATACTAATATATTATTATAATCTCTCTAAAACAAGACCTAATTCTTTAAGAAATCAGACCTCACTCTTCCAAACTCTCAATTTCTCAATGCTGTTTGCAACCCATCCCGTTAAGACCCTTCCTTTAAAATGTCTTCAGAACAATAAAGTTAACCTATGGTCCCAATCTAAACCGGTAATAAAGTCTGAAGGACAGTGACTTTTCCAAACTCTGCTGTGGTGGAGAACACATCACTGATTAAAAAGAAATCTCCCAAGTGCAGGATTCTTACCTGGCTGAAGGAGTCCAGACTGACACCGTTTTCCAGCAAGAATTGGCGGACCTTCTGAACCAGCTCTGTCTCTCCCAATGCCACCCTCACGGCCACACTACCCTTCAGCTCCTGCCAAGAGAAAATCAGGCATGGGTCAATATAACCTAGTAATTGAACAGCTTCCATCTGTCTGGCAGGTGAGAGATAGTAGGGGAATAGCAATGAACCCTAAACAACCAAAATATCAACCTAAAAACCTCTCTAATTCCTAAAAAACCAGACATTAGGATACTCTCAAGATGGTCATGAACTGACGGGATCAAGTGGGGATCAGAAAAATAGTTAAGATAGAACTGAAATATGTAATGGATTTTAAAAATATATAAAATTACAACTCACATGATCAAACACTTGGCTCTTCGTGGCATTGTATTTGTGTGCAACCGCGTCGGCCACAGCATTCACCCCCATAAACAGAGTGTTCCAGTTATGTGAGCTAGAAAAGGGAGTAAAACAAGGGGGTTGATCTTTTTTTGTTCTTTTCTAACAGCGTTAGCTACTGGCAGAACAAGCTCTAAGCTACAAAGTATTGCTTGTAATTATGGTTCCATTGATTTTGCTGTTGCTAAATTCCTAGTCAACAGCATCTTCCCCAACCACCAGAAGTTTACCCACTGTGAGCACAAACCTGGAACTGCTGGCTTTGTCCTTGGATGCCTTTTGTTTCTTGTAGGATGAGGCCCCGGGATCGTCGCCACGCTCCTCTTCTTCCTTCTTAATGGTGGAAGGCAAGACATGGAGCATTCGACCCTAGAAGATAGAAGAAGAGAAGATAGAACCTATAGCATTTCACTTTTTGGCGAAACAGAAGCAAGTCAACAAAGGCAAAAGAAAGGTTTCGAGTTGAAAGAGATCTCCAAAGTAAGTTCTTCTAGATGGATTTAAGAAATTCTCACTGTACAAACTCTGGAATAAGCACCCTGAATTCCAATTTCCATACCTGGAAAACCTGCCCATCCACTTCGGCGAAGGCCTTCACAGCATGTTCGGGGAACATGTAGGTAACAAAGGCAAAGCCCTTGGGTTTCTTGGTCAGGCCATCGATGGGGAAGTGGACCTCCGAAAGCGGCCCTGCGAATGGTATACATAAGGAAAGGTGGATTTTGACTGCTTTATTTGCTTGGGTTGCAGGAGACTTAAGAATGTCAAGCTCTGTTTGTTTGTTTGTTTATTTATTTATGTTATTTCTACCCCGCCCATATCAGCCTGAAGGCGACTCAGGGCGGCAAACAGTCGGCACAATTTGATGCCACATATAAAATACATACATCAATAAAAATAAAACCAACACATTACAATGTATCTAAAAACATCAAATCATTGAACAATTGATTTTTTAAAACTATGTCGTCATGTTCTTTTGCAGCAGAAGAAAGTTGAACCTGAGAGAGGATTACTATCAGTGCAATCCATCTGGAAAGCACCTCTGACTGTTGCCAGTCAAAACTGGGCAATCAATGACACATGGGATAGATTTCCTGCATATATAGAGCATCATCTACAATTAATCAGATTTTACTTGGTTTGTCTAATACAGTGGTTCCAAGTTTTTGACCAGGGACCACTTGACCAGGGATATTATTACCAAAAGGTTTACGAATTGATTTTTGGTCAACTTTAGATTTTGTTTGGTTATTTGGGATGCCGATTTAGAAAACTGCATTGGATAGACTGCATCGGCTTTAGTTTCTGATACAGAACATATGCCATCCAATAGTCGCCATCTGCTTGCCCACAGAAAACCATCTATCTATATCTATACACATAATAAAAGTGAAAAATGTGTATGTGTGTATGTTGTGGAGGTGTCCAGTTACATAGCCTCCCGCCTCCACAAATAGGCTATACAGTGTACCCTCAATTATCACGGGGGTTACATTCCAGAACCATCTGCAAAAAGTGATAAACCATGATGTAGGGATGCTCTCTCTCTCTCTCTCTCTCTCTCTCTCTCTATATATATATATATATATATATAAAATAAATGTCTTGCCCGACTTACCAAGAAAGGGTCGTTGTGGCGGTGGGCGCCCTTCTGCCAGCCATGCTGCTTGCAGGGGGCTTCTTCTTCCCAGAAGCCCCCTGTGCAGTGGGAAGTCTCTCATCGCTTGGCCAACTGGCCAACCCGCAGCAGCCCCCGCCCCGCCCCTGGATCGGCCGGGGCCAGCTTCCCCACCTCGCCCCAGCAGCCTTTGCCGGCCTGCCCAGGGCCTCCGCAGGGCTCCATGGCTGCTGGGGCAAGGTGAGGAAGCCGGCTCTGGCTGAGCCAACCAGCGGATCGGCCAGGGRRYGCTTCCCCATCTRYCCCRYYCAGCCWRHGCAGMSCRASSSTYGSKCTSRYWAGGCTGRRYGGGRYAGATGGGGAAGCRYYCCCTGGCCGATCRGCTGGTTGGCTCAGCCAGAGCCGGCTTCCTCACCTTGCCCCAGCAGCCATGGAGCCCTGCGGAGGCCCWGGGRAGSKCMGCAAAGGCTGCTGGGGCYAGYTGGGGAAGCRYGCCCRGGCCGATCCAGGGGCGGGGCGGGGGCTGCTGCGGGTTGGCCAGTTGGCCAYGCGATGKSAGACTTCCCACTGCACAGCAACCTTGCCCCAGCAACCTTTGCAGCGCTGCCCTGGGCTTCCGCAGGGCTCCATGGCTGCAGGGGCGAGGTGGGGAAGCTGCCCCTGGCCAATCCAACCAGGGATTCCTCATCTCACCCTGACAGCCACAGAGGCCCAGGTCAGCACTGCAAAGGCTGCTGGGGCGAGATGGGGAAGCCTGACCTGGCCTCCCTTCCAGCAGCCATGGAGCCAGCGGACTCGCTGTTTCACGGTTAGGGTTTAGAATATTAATTCTAAACCCTATCAGCAAAAGAGCAAGTCCGCAGAAAGCAAACTGCGAAACAGTAAAGGAACACTGTAGTTCCAAGTACTGAGAAGCCTCCAAAGGCACTCAATCCATTGACATTGCACATTATAGTGAGTGCCATGATTTTGTAGCCCAAACGCTGCCAATGTCCTCCAGAAACACTAACCACCCAAGGAATACTTTCATTTCATCCTAGATTTCACATCTTTCCTCCACCACAGGCAGGCATCCCAGGGTTCCTTCTGTGGAATTTACATGACCCGTTTCTACCCTTTCCTATGGCACACAGCAAACACAGAGGAACTGATCAGCAACTGAACAGACTGGGGGGATTTAGGGGACTGACTCAACAGGATGGAAGTTGTAGTTCATCCTACATCAAGGCAGAGAACTCTGACCCCCTTCAATAATGGACCTGGCCCATGACCAAGGTTGGGGAATTGACCTTGATTTATAGGAGCTGTAATTCACCTACATCCAGAGGCCACTTTGAACGCAGCCAATGATGGATCTGGACCAAACTTGGCACACAAACCCAACATGGCCAACTGTGCATACTGGCAGAGTTTGGGTGTGATTGCCCTGGGAATCTGGGAGTTGTAGTTCACTCTTATCCAGAGAGCACTGAACCCATCTGATATCGGATCTGGACCACACTTGGCACACAGACCTAACATGGCCAACTTTGATTAATTCAAAAGACAATGGATTCCCAAAATTGCAAAGACACAAATCCACTACAAGCAGTAGTACATAAATCACAGAGGAAAATGTTTTTTGCAACTTAGATAAAACAACATTGAGCGATATATGGAGAACATAAGACTGCTATATATACAGTGATTTTTACACCAGTCACTTAAGTAGAATATTTCTTGCTTTAAAACAGACTTCTCCTAAGGGCATTAGATTCCTTACTCTCTTGTAAGTAGAAATGTATACAACATGTTGTATTATATAAGTTGCAAAAATTTTTTACCTCTGTGATTTATGTACTACTGCTTGTAGTGGATTTGTGTCTTTGCAGCTTTGAATAATGGCAGGGTTTGAGAAGGATTGGCTCACGATTCTGGGAATTGTAGTTCTATTGGAATCATTCATAAAAAAACAAAAGGAAACACTGGCTTTTTTCTAATAAATAGCATTAGGCATTACCAACGAATATTACCAAACTTTAAAAAACAAGCAATGCCTTTCTCAAAAACCCAGGCACTGCTGGGTCCCCAAGCTAGTATTTAATAATCTAGAGCTGATGTGGTAGTAGTAATCTTTGTGGCTAGTCAGCCTGTCCCCTTCCAACATCCCCATTGCCTCGGCACTATAAGAGGGTTTTACGAGACCAGTCACTCTTGTTGCCGTGTGGTTTCAAGGCAACAGTGTAGTAATGGTGAGGCTGCAGACCATATTTTCGTTCTTGCAGACCACTAGTGGTCCATGGACCACAGGTTGGGAACCACGAATAGCTCAATGGTAAACCGAGGAATATTTGGCCCTTCTGATGTCTTGGGACTACAAATCCCACAATCCACTGCCATTAGACACACTGGATGAGGCTGATGGGAGCTGTGGGCTGAAGCCTTTGAAGAGCCAAGAAGTGACACTGTGTCACAGCTGTCTGCATTTTGAGGGACTGCAGAAGGAAAATGATGTATTTGTGGGTAATACAAGGCTCATGGTGGCTGTTTACCATATTTAGAAAACAACCCTTCCAAGTCTTCCTCAGTGCTGGTGTAGGGAAGATTTCTCACAAAAAGCCTTCCCGACTCAGACAGATCTTCATCTTCCTCGTCATCTTTCTTTGTCCTTTGCCAGGTCTGGGCCAGGTCCTTTGAGGAATGTTTAGTCTTTTTGGAGTGTTCCTCATGGAAGAGTTCAATGTACCGCCCACCTGGTCAAGATGGCAGAAAGAAAAAGAGGATAAGTGATGAATTGTTATTCATCCCAAGAGCACAGCAACCACCTTAAGAGGCATGTGAGGCTGCGAAAAAGTGACTGGCCCAGCCACTGAGCTTGCAGGGTCAAGAAAGGACATGAATCCAGACCAGGGTTTGAGTCCCCATTCAACCATGAAAACCCATTGGGTGATTATGAGCAGGTCACACACTCTCAGCTTCAAAAAAGCCTCCATGATAGTTTTATCTTTGGCCACCAGAAGTTGGGAAAAGGAACATCTTCTAAACAGGTGGCTACCTACCCATATATTCGTGATTCCGTTTCAGGGCTTTCTGAACCTCCTCCTCATTGTTAAAATCAACAAACACATAACCTAGGAGGAGAAAACAAACACAAACAGAGTTACCTAGCATAACATACTCTTCTACAATGCCAATAGATAGAATGTATTATGAGTTCAAGTGTGCGAAGTGTCTATATTAAATCTGCTTCTTAAGTAAGTTCGCTCTGTTCCAATGGAGTCCCCTTTCTCTGGATGGCTATCTGCTGGGAGTGTTTGGATGGTGACTTCTTATGTGGCATAAGGGGGCTCCAAGCCCCAATCGGCAGCCAGATGACATCCAAGAAAAGAGCGCTTGGCAAACACAAGAAGTCAATTCTTACCCGTCTTATTCCCATGGGCGTTCCTCACAATTCGGATTGCGACTGGGTGAAGCGGCACAAGAAACTCCCTCACATTTTGCTGCGGACAAAAAAAGCCCAAGAGCATTAGCAAAATAGTATCAGGGACCTCTTTGCCCCCACCTGGCAATTGGAAAAGATCCTTTTCTGGATTGCACTGCCCTAGTATCTCTCATGAATAAACAGCCTTATGGGGAAGATGAGGACATTCCACCTGCTAAAGAAGAATTGAGACCTGCCATGAAATGTACCTTCAGGTCCCAAACATTCTAGCAATTTAGTTACTTAAAAACATCAGCTAGAGCTTTTAGATGTAGAGTTTAGGGATCCAACCCTGGTCTACTACCAAAGTCAAAGGATAGAAGGTCAGTTCAGTTCAGGAGCCCCCGGTGGCACAACAGGCCGGAGGTTCGAATCCCACAATAGCATGGATGAACTCCCTCTGTCAGCTCCAGCTCCCATGAAGGGACATGACAGAAAACTCCCACAAGGGTGGTAAAACATAAAAAACATCCGGGTGTCCCCTGGGCAACGTCTTTGCAGACGGCCAATTCTCTCGCACCAGGAGTGACTTGCAGCTTCTCAAGTCATTCCTAACACACACAAAAAAGTGTGGTATCATGAACATATAGTCAATGAGCTCTCAAGCTTCCATAATCACAGGACAGAGATCAATGACATGAACATTACAGAGAGTAACTTCAGCTCCATTGGCCAGAGCCAGGCAAAATAACAGGGATACTTACTTCTGTGACATTGAAGGGGGCGCCCCGCAGCTTCACTGTGTATGGCGTGGTGGGTTCATTTGCACCAACCTGAGCTTTTCCCTGGGAAGCCAAAAGAATGGTCAGTGAAACACTTTGAGGAAAGTTCCCAAGTGCTTTGTGTCTAATTTGTTTAGGCCTAAACTCCCAGAAGTGCAATTGAAAAAAACATCTGATCCGAGGTCAGACAATTTGTCCAACTTGCCCAATATTCAGAAGTATATGTTGAATGTTCCCCTTAATTGTGTAGTGAAGTGGTTAGAGCATCAGAATAAAACTAAAGAAATTCAGATTCAAATCACAACTCAAGCAAAAGGATTGCAGGAAAAAAGGAGAGGACAGCTAGCAAGCAGGGGCTTCCAAGTTGTACTATTATTTGTAACAGCAGAAGACAAACACGGAGACATTTGTAAACAGACAAAACAGAACTGAACGAATCACCAAGCCATGACCTAATGAGAGATGCATGAATTTTAGAATTCAGGATTGGATCATACCTCGGTTGTGGCCTTTTGTTTCTTTTTCTCTGCAACCTTTTTCAAGCCTTCAGTCTTTACACCCGCTCCAGATTCTGCTATCAAACCAGAGCCAGCCTTGGGCCCAGGACTGGGTTTTGTTTCTTCCTCTTTGCCTTCACCAGACTCCTTCTTATCCACCTCCTCATCTTCACTCTCTTCCTCAGATGAAGACAAGGACTCAACATTTTTCACGACTTTTGATCTCAGGTAGTCCATATCTGACAGCTCTGGCCTGGCTGCTGCCTTTCCTTGGGAGCTTTGGACCTCCTCTGCAGGATGGGAGAGGACATGAGTGACATGAGGGTTAAAAAAACCCGAAAGGACTTACACACAGTCCAAGTGGGGAGAACCGGAGAAATAGTCAAGGAGAAAATGCAAGTCTGTGGCAGGCAGTCACATAATGTATCCAAACTTCTCTTTGCCTGCATCGCTTCTATCAAAACACAATTTCCCATATTATAGTTATTATGACGTTTATTTATACCCCACTTTTTCTCTCCACAAGGAGACTCAAAGTGGCTTACATTTAAAACATTTCAATGCAATTTAAAATCTACAAATATACAAACATCAACACAGAATTAAATATCATTGGTATTGAAAAATTCAGTTAAAATCCATAAAAACATATCCAAAACTAAAAACCACAGGACCCCATGATCTTAAACACCTTTTTAAGAGTTTGTTCAAATAAAAAGGTTTTAGGCTGCCGCAGAAGGACAGCAGGGAGGGGGCCATTCTGGCTTCCCTGGGCAGGGAGTTCCAGAGTCAAGGGACAGCCACTGAGAAGGCCTGCTCTCTCATTCCCACCAACCGAGCTTGAGATGGAGGTGGGACCAAGAGAAGAGCCTCTCCTGAAGATCTCAGGGCCTAGCTAGGTTCGTACAAAGGGATGCGGTTGGTAAAATAGCCTGGACCTGAACCATCTAGGGCTTTAAAGGTCATAACCAGCACTCTGAATTGTGCCCGGAAACAGACTGGCAGCCAGTGGAGCTGCTGCAACAGGGGGTTGTCTGCTCCCTGTAGCCAGTCCCAGTTAGCAGTCTGGCTGCAGCCCTTTGGGCCAGCTGAAGTTTTTGAGCAGTCTTCAGAGGCAGCCCCACGTAGAGTGAGTGTAAGGCACAGACCACCGTGACCATACTTGTTTTTCAAGGAATGGGCGCAGTTGGCACACAACTTTTAATTGTGCAAAGGCCCTCCTCACTGCCGCCGACACCTGGGCCTCCAGGTTGAGTGCTGAGATCAGGAGGACCCCCAAACTGCAGACCTGTGTCTTCAGGGAGAGTGTGACCCCTTCCAGCACAGGTTGGATCCCTATTCCCCAATTGCCTTCCAACTGACCAAGAGTACCTCTGTCTTATCTGGATTAAGTTTCAATTTGTTTGCCCTTATCCAGTCCATTACCGACAAAAGGCACCACAAAACTTGGAAAATAGTTTCTTTGAAGACTACACAATCCCCCAGACAGGGGATTCTGAGATTTGGAATACAAACAAGTAGTTTTTACCAAGCTCTGCCTGTTGTCACCTTTTAACCTGATAACAGGAGAGTTTGTTTTCTTCTGAGTACAAGGAAAGACTGGAATGCTACCCAGTGCCCCAGTTAGTCTTCTTCTTCTTAACTATTTGTACCCTGCCTTTCTCCCCGTGGTCCCCAGAAGTCTGCTAACCATCACACAATCTAATCACAGTTTAAAACAAAGCAAATACAAAAGTTAAAACATAATTAAATGGTACTTTTATCTTGCCAGAGTTTTAATTAGTTTTAATCAGTTTGTCTTTTAATCATTACACGTAGACCGCCCATTGTTATTGTGCCTGTGCTTATTGTAATTTTTACATTGTTATGTATGCATATGTTTTATGTTAATATGATGTTATTGTTACTGTTCGCGTTTTCGGTTTGTGTTTTGGTTTTTTCTTTATTGTAATTGTTATTTGGGCTTGGCCTCATGTAAGCCGCTCCAAGTCCCCATTGGGGAGATGGTGGCGGGGTATAAATAAAGATTATTATTATTATTATTATTATTATTATTATTATTATTATGGTGTGGATATAAATGAAGTTAAAATACAATTAAAAATTATGTTTAAAACTCACAACAACACCTTCCCAACCTCACCAAAATTTCTCTTTGCTTGAATGTCCTGCTCAAGGCCCAGCATGGGAAATGCAAACCTCTATTCCAGCCCAGAGCAAGCCAGGAAAAGCAAGAGTCATCCTTTCATATTGTGTTTAGTCTCAAATTTGATGCTATGTCGGTCTATTCACTGCTGGAAGTCTTGCAACAAGAAAGCACTTGGTGTAGCTAGGAACGGCACAAAAAGAGGCATACCAAGTCTGAACCCTTATTCCTTCTTTACTAAGATAGCACCACTCATGAAATGGCACATCAACGCAACACATCGAGTACCTTGGGTATTTCCTGCATCTCCATCCTTATTCCCAAACTCAGCTTCCTCCTCACTTAGAGTCTCCGACTCATCAGAATCAAAATTCAGATAGTCATCCGTCACCTTGGCGCGGTTCTTTTTGGCCTCCTCCGCTTTTGTGTCATTGGACCAAGTGGTCACCTGAGACCGTTTCTTGTGCACCTCCAGGAAGTCTTGGAATGCCTCCTCTCCTTCCAGCTGAGGAAGAGGACCAAGCAAAGAGCAAGTCACAAACGGTTATAGGAGGAGTCCCCGCAGAACATCATTTGAGATGTCAAATGTGCAACGTACTCATTAAAAGGGTCAGGTGGATATGAGAAGAATATAATAATAATAATAATAATAATAATAATAATAATAATAATAATATTTATTTGTACCCTGCCACCATTTCCCCCAATGGGGACTCGGGGCGCTCACATGAGGCCAAGCCCAAGCAACAAATTACAATAGAATAAGATAAAGAACACCGCAATAAAGTACAAAGCATATAAATACAATAAGCAATATACACAAAGCATAAGAAAGCAATAAACAACATAATGACAGTGAATGGGCCGCATGTACAATAAAATGGTTTAAAAACTCAGGGAGAGATAAAAGGAGCAGATTATTTGCATGGGGGAACTCATAGAGAAACAGTGAAATAAACATACTTAGAAGGACTGGGATCTACTGATAGATGTAGGGTTAACTCAGTCATTCTAGGACACATAGCCCAAAACAACAACCCAAATCATCTTTGTACTATGCCCTCCCTAATCAGAGATGGGGCCTGAAGCAGACCATTTGCAAATGGCTGAGATTTACCTTTTTAAAATCTTCTGGCTGATTCTTCTTCTTTTTCTCCTAGGAAAGAATGGTGTAAAAAAGATTTTTTAAATGGTATTACAGAAGTTGGAAGAGACCACAAGGGCCATCCAGTCCAACCGCCTGCAGGAAAACACAATCAAAACACCACTGACAGATGGCCACCCAGCCTATGCTTAAAAACCATAGGAAATTGATCTCAGGAGATACTGTTTAAAAACGAAGATGCCAAAGACCTTTCTTCCAGAAATTTCAAGCATAGCAGTGAAATGATTTACAAACTTACTTGCTTAATTTCTGCATGGCCTGAACTCTTGGCAGATTTTTCAGGTACTTTCTCAATGGCTGACGGCTTTTGGGAATGTTTGCTCCATGCTCTAGGTTTCTGGGGATCTCCAAAAGACTTACAGAACTCAACCTGAAAAGAATTTCAAGGCGCAAGTTAGTTCACAGACTAAATGGTGGGCAAAGGGTTTTTTTCTTTTTTTAAAATATTTATTTTTGTTGAATTTTTTTTTACAACGTATATAAATTGACAGACAAGACAAACAATATGGACAGATTTATATACAAGATTAAACAGGCAATTACCTTAAAGGCTGTATGTTTCTCTCTGTATATACTATATTCTACGCAATCATCTATGTCTAATTTCTCGAGTCGTATTCGTTCCTATCTACACACCAAGTTACTTACCTAGCCCAAATTCCTAAACTGAATGTTGTCTTTGCCCCCCCCCTCCCCCTACAACACATTTCAATATCTATACACATAAAAGCATAAATACATACAATTTCCCCCCTAACTTCCCGGATCTTCAAGCAACCTGGGTTTTAATTTGTTCTCAACGTATTTTGTTTTGATGGTTAATTTTTAACCTAATTTTAATATCACTTCCGGGATTCTTCTTTCCTTCATATTTTAACAATATTTGAGATTATTTTTCTTTAAAAAATTAATGAACTTGTTCCAGTCAGTGTTATCTGTTGTTGTTCTATTTTTCCTTATTTTCTGTGTTAGCAAGTCCATATTCATGATATCCACAGCCTTATTGATCCATAAACTAAAAGTTGCTGTGTTTTCAGTTTTCCATACACGGGCAATACATATCCTTGCTGCTGTAGTCAAGTAAAAAAAGATCTTGTCATCATTCTTATTCAGTTTAAGGTTAGTCATTCCTAGTAGGAAGTATTCTGGTTTGAATTCAAAGTTGAGTTCCTTTTTGAAGCAGCTTTTAACTGACGCCAGACACTTTACGGTCATATGGGGATTTCTAGACTGATTTTAACTTTTATTGTTTATAATGCAGAAGTTGCTAAAGGGCATTCTTTGAACTTTTATTATCTGCTTTTAGTTAATGGTTTTATGCTACTATGTATATTTTTTAAAATGATACGAGCCACCTTGGGTCCGCTATGGAGAAAGGTGACATGGAAATCTCCAAAACAAATAAACAATAAAATAAATAAAAGTTTTAAATGCATTAAACACTCAACCCAATTAAAATATTAATTAAAAATGACTAAAATGCATTAAACACATAATATATATTTTACAAAGTACATCCAGCTTATTGATTTGGTCATAAAGGGGAAACTGTGGTGTGTCAGGTTTAGAATATTTCACATAGGTACAATACTTGAACCCGATGTGGTAAACCATGGATTACTATGTTATTAGAATACTATTTATCCCTATTTTTTTCCAGATTCAGAATAGATTTCAGTACTTACTAACAGAACTACTTAGCTCTCAATCAAACCTATACACCCCATTTACCCATTTAATATCCCAAAACAGTTGAAAGGCGCATTACCGAGACTCTGGCTGTATCTATAAAACTCTTGTTGAAATGCGTCAAGGCTGCTTTGGCATCCTCTTCAGACTTAAAGCCAATGAACCCAAATTTGCGGAACTTGCCATCCTTGGTGAACTTCAAGGCGCAATCAGTCAATGTCCCAAAGGCAGCAAAAAGTCCGCGGAAACGATCTTCCTTTATCTGGAGAGAAGCGAAAGAAACAGTAGATAATTTATTCAAAGAATGTCAAAAATGCTTTCAGAGTAAGGCCACTTAAGTTTAAAAACATAGGCTCAGACCTCAAGTTGACACTCAAATCATGGTCCTATCGATATGTTACTGATGAGACCTGGAGCATCAACTCCCATGATTCCAGAGCATTTGCCTATGGCAGTTAAAAGTAGTGCCAAAACACATCAATTCCCCAGTGTAGAAGCACCCACTGGTGACACTTCTCAAAGCCTGGAAACTAGGCCTGGTTGATCAAGAAAAAATTTGGTTCTAAAATCGATTTGTAATTGGGGTGTTTTTTTGTTTCGATATTTAAAATAATTACAAAATTTCCCCCCTACAATCCGTTAATATTTATGAAAATTTCGTAAATATTAACGAATCGATTCGTTAAGATGGCGGACCCCCGCGCATGCGCAAAAACACTTCCGAAGCTTCGTTATTGGCGCGGGGTCGATTCGTTAAGATGATAACGAATCGATTCGTTAAAGCGACGGACGCGTTTGCGCATGCGCAAACGCGACTTCCGAAACTTCGTTATTAAAACTTCGTTATTAAAACTTCGTTATTAAAACTTCGTTATTAAATATTTTGGGTTGGCAAAAGGAGCGCACTGGTTGGAACTACACAAATGATGAGCGAGCAGTGTATGTATGTAGCACTTTGTGTTGGCAAAAGGAGCGCACTGGTTGGAACTACACAAATGACAAACGCACACAGCCACCGAAGACTCTTTTATTTTTTTAGAATATTTTTTGTATTTTTTAAGAATAAAAGACAGGTATTTTTAAAAAATATTCAAAAATGGAAAATTAACCAAAAACTGGCCCTGATGTGGACCAAACACAGCCACGAGACAGGGCAAATGAGAGCACACACCAACAGAAGAGTCTTTTCTTTTTTTGGAATATTTTTTGTATTTTTTAAGAATAAAAGGCAGGTATTTTTAGAAAATATTCAGAAATGGAAAATTAACCAAAAACTGGCCCTGATATGAAGCAACACAGCCACGAGACAGGGCAAATGAGAGCACACAGCAACAGAAGAGTCTTTTCTTTTTTAGAATATTTTTGTATTTTTTAAGAATAATATTTAAAAAATAATATTAAAAAATATTCAAAAATGGAAACTGAACCAAAAAATGGCCCTGATGTAGAGCTAACACAGGCAGGAGACAGCAAATGAGAGCACACAGCAACAGAAGAGTCTTTTCTTTTTTAGAATATTTTTTGTATTTTAGAATAAAAAATAATATTAAAAAATATTCAAAAATGGAAACTGAACCAAAAAATGGCCCTGATGTAGAGCAAACACAGGCAGGAGACAGCAAATGAGAGCACACAGCAACAGAAGAGTCTTTTCTTTTTTAGAATATTTTTTGTATTTTTAAGAATAATATTTAAATAATATTAAAAAATAATATTAAAAAATATTTAAAAATGGAAAATTAAGAAACAAATTCACAAAAACCGAAGTAATGAATCCAAGCAAGGAATATAAGCAGCACTAAGCACAGCAGCAAGGAATGAATCCAAGGAATGAGCAAGGAATGAATCCAATCCAGTTGCTAGCCAAGCCAAGCCAACCCAATGCAAACCCTCCCGGACCTCTTCTCTCTCCCTCGCCCTCTGCAGCAATGAGCTGTACGGCCGCGCAGAGCCGCTTTTAAAGGGCTCGCCGGCCAATCAAAAACAGCCACGGTGCACTGCTTGGGTGCTTGGGAGCGCCGGATTGGCTCCCAGGCACCAGCAGCCTCCATCCCATTAACGAAACGAGCGGAAGCTCGTTAAATCTATGGGGGTTGCCGGTTCGATATTTTTAAACCCTTCCGGGTTTGAAAATGTGTTTTGATATCGCTTCGTAAATGCAAAAATTAACGAATTAATAACGAATTACGAAATTAACGAACGAAACCGCACAGGCCTACTGGAAACCCCTTGTGGACTTTTTGCAGAAAATAACAGGAAGAAAATGACTTGATAGCTATTGAATTTGATGACTGAAAGGAATTAATTCAGGAGAAACAAAAGAGAAATTAAGTTAATGGTAGAGTAAGAAACGCATAATTATGTAGTATGTATAATGGCTGAGAATAATAAGACTTTATTTATATTCCAGCCTATCTCCCCAAGGTTACTCAGGGCTGATTCCAACAAACAAAAAAGGCAAACATTCAATGCCTCGTTACAACAACAAATGCAAGCATAATAGTTCAAAAACAAACTTATCAAATAAATTATAGCTAACATAAAATACAAATATCAGTATCAGATACAGGCACAACTGGCACACAAGTTTTACTTGTGCAAAGGCGCTCCTGGCTACTGTTGACACCTGTGCCTCCAGGGTCAGCAATGAATGCAGGATCACCCTCAGACTGCAAACCTGCAACTTTGGGGTGAGTGTAACCCCATCCAGCACAGGCTGTAACCCAGCGTTTCTCAACCTGAGGGTCAGGCCCCGTGGGGGTGTTGCGAGGTGGGTGTCAAAGAGGTCACCAAAGACCATCAGAAAACACAGTGTTTTCTGTCATGGGGGTTCTGTGTGGGAAGTTAGGCCCAATTCTATTATTGGTGGGGTTCAGAATGCTCTTTGATTGTTGACGAACTGTAAATCCCAGCAACTACAACTCCCAAATGACAAGGTCCATTTTCCCTAAACCCCACCAGTGTCCACATTCAGGCATAGTGAGTATTCATGTCAAGTTTGATCCAGATACATTATTGGTTGGTTCCACAGTGCTCTCTGGATGTAGATGAACTACAGCTCCAAAACTCAAGGTCAATGCCCACCAAACCCGTCCAGTATTTTCTGTTGGGCATGGGAGTTTGTGTGCTAAGTTTGGTCCCTCGGTAGTGGAGTTCAGAATGCTCTTTGACTGTAGATGAATTATGAATCTCAGCAACAGCAACTCCCGAATGACAAAATCAATCCCACCCAATCCCACTAGTATTCAAATTTGGGCATATCGGATGTTAGTGCCAAATTTGGTCCAGTGAACAAAAATACATCCTGCATATAATTCATAAGAATAGCAAAATTACAGTTATGAAGTAGCAATGAAAATAATTTTATGGTTGGGGGTCACCACAACATGAGGGGTCCCAGTATTAAGGGGTCCCAGTATTATTTGTTATTTATTTATTTCAAATATTTGTACCCCGCCCTTCTCTACCCCTCAAGGGGGACTCAGGGTGGCTTACAGCCGACAACAATTTGATGCACCCCATATACAAACAGATAAAACAACTGTTACGTAATAAGTAAAACATTAAAATTAGATTAAAAACCATTTCAAATAGTGCTAATTGAATTGGTTGGCTATGTCTAAGTCCGAGTTCTATGATCAACAACTTAATCCGAAGCCTGTCCATTTTCCATAGCTGTTGTCATTTTTATTGTCAGCCTGCTATCCGAATGCCTGGTCCCATAGCCACATCTTCAACATTTTCCTGAAGGAAAGGAGGGAAGCTATTGACCTAATTTCGCTGGAGAGTGAGTTCCACAGGCGGGGGCCACTGCCGAGAAGGCCCTGTCTCTCATCCCCCTCCCCCTTAGGAAGGTTGAGAAACACTGCTGTAACCCTATACCCTGATCTGCCTTCCCACTGACCAGGAGTACATCTGTCTTGTCTGGAGAAGAAGAGAAGAAGCTTTTGGTTTCCTCCCCTCCCTATTTCTTATTTCCCTTTATTTCTTCTATACACGTTTTGGGGTGCATCTGCACTGTAAAATTAACCAAGTTTGATAAAACTTTCACTGCGTGGCTCAATGTTATAGAAACTTGGGAGTTGACGCTTGGTGATGGTCCAGCCCTCTTTGGTAGAGAAGGCTGATGACCTTGTAAAACTACCGCTTCCAAGATTCCATAGCATCGAGTCATGGCACTTTAAGTGGTATCACACTGGGTTAATTCGACAGTGTAGACACCTTCAGTTCAAAAAACGAAGAGGTTCAAGAAACCACGCACCACCCCACCTTCCCTTACCCCATTCGGCAGGTTCTTCACGATAAGTCGCGACATGTCGGAAATTGGTGCGGATTCTAACTTTCAAGCGGAGGAGGCGAAACTACCAACGAGAAACATGCCGCTCCCTGGGCGCCGCCATCTTGGCCATCCCCGGTGGATCACGTGGCGCAGAAGCCCCGCCTCCGCGTTCGACCACTCGTGCGCCTGCGCGTTGGGGGAAAAAACAAAACAACACGCGCCCTCTCTGCCAAAACGTTGGCTGGCAGAAGAAGTAAGCCACAGTTGGGCAAAACTTCCGGATTCCAAGTGGCGGGGAAAGTAGTGAGAGCAAATGCTCATCTGCTCATCTTCTTTCTCTGGGCGCATCTACATTTCAGAACGAATCCAATTTGACACCACTTGGACTGCCATGGCTCAATGCTACGGCATCATGGGAATTGTAGTTTGGTGAAGCAGCATTACAAGGGAGATGCAGCTTTAGTCAGTAGCCAGAATACTTTGGAAGAATACTTTAGCAGCCAAATGTTGACCATTGCAATACCACTTGCAGTCAATAGGGGGAGCCTTCAGCTTGGGTGTATTATAAAAGACCCCTCCTCAAAAAAATGCAAACTGTTCAGGATCATCCCAGACCATGGCTGCATCAATTGTCAAATTAATGTGGTTCAAAACCGCTTTCGCTGCCATAGCACAATGCTATATGTTCCTGAGAGTTGTAGTTTGACACCACCATCACAAGTACGGTTGGTGGGGACGAGAGAGCGCCTTCTCGGTGGTGGCCCCCCACCTCTGGAACGCCCTTCCAAGGGAAATAAGACAGGCTGCATCCCTCCCCTCCTTTCGTAAGAGCTTGAAGACCTGGTGGTTTCAACAAGCCTTTGAGAATGACCAGTTCTAGCCCAGTCCCAAACATTGTTGAATATGGCCTTGCACTTCTTACCTATTACCCCAGTCATCCCTCTAATAGGCCCTGGAAATGAGCAGCCACAGACCCGTACCTGCTATTGCTGTTAGCCTGTTATAGCACTGAAAAAAATGCAAACTGTTCAGGATCATCCCAGACTATGGCTGCATCAATTGTCAAATTAATGTGGTTCAAAACCGCTTTCACTGCCATAGCACAATGCTATATGTTCCTGAGAGTTGTAGTTTGACACCACCATCACAAGTACGGTTGGTGGGGACGAGAGGGCCAATGTGGAGGAGGGCCAATGTGGTCCCAATCTTCAAGAAGGGAAAAAAGGATGACCCAAACAACTACCGTCCGGTCAGCCTCACGTCGATAACGGGCAAGATTCTGGAAAAGATTGTTAAGGAAGCGGTCTGCAAACACTTAGAAACAAATGCAGTCATCGCTAATAGTCAACATGGATTTATCAAAAACAAGTCATGCCAGACTAATCTGATCTCTTTCTTCGATAGAGCTACAAGCTGGGTAGATGCAGGGAATGCCGTGGATGTGGCGTACCTGGATTTCAGTAAGGCCTTCGACAAGGTCCCCCATGACCTTCTGGCAAGGAAACTAGTCCAATGTGGGCTAGGCAAAACTACGGTGAGGTGGATCTGTAATTGGTTAAATGGACGAACCCAGAGGGTGATCACCAATGCTTCCTCAATCTTGGAAAGAAGTGACAAGTGGAGTGCCGCAGGGTTCCGTCCTGGGCCCGGTCCTGTTCAACATCTTTATTAATGACTTAGATGAAGGGCTAGAAGGCATGATCATCAAGTTTGCAGACGACACCAAATGGGGAGGGATAGCCAATAGTCCAGAGGACAGGAGCAGAATTCAAAACGATCTTGACAGATTAGAGAGATGGGCCAAAACTAACAAAATGAAGTTCAACAGTGACAAATGCAAGATACTCCACTTAGGCAGAAAGAACAAAATGCAAAGATACAGAATGGGGGACAATGCCTGGCTCGAGAGCAGTACGTGTGAAAAAGATCTTGGAGTCCTCGTGGACAACAAGTTAAACATGAGCCAACAATGTGATGTGGCGGCAAAAAAACCAATGGGATTTTGGCCTGCATCAATAGGAGCATAGTGTCTAGATCTAAGGAAGTAATGCTACCCCTCTATTCTGCTTTGGTTAGACCACATCTGGAATATTGTGTCCAATTCTGGGCACCACAATTCAAGAGAGATATTGACAAGCTGGAATGTGTCCAGAGGAGGGCGACTAAAATGATCAAGGGTCTGGAGAACAAGCCCTATGAGGAGCGGCTTAGGGAACTGGGCATGTTTAGCCTGAGAAGAGAAGGCCGAGAGGAGATATGATAGCCATGTATAAATATGTGAGAGGAAGCCACAGGGAGGAGGGAGCAAGCTTGTTTTCTGCTTCCTGGAGACTAGGACGCGGAACAATGGCTTCAAACTACAAGAGAGGAGATTCCATCTGAACATTAGGAAGAACTTCCTGACTGTGAGAGCCGTTCAGCAGTGGAACTCTCTGCCCCGGAGTGTGGTGGAGGCTCCTTCTTTGGAAGCTTTTAAGCAGAGGCTGGATGGCCATTTGTCAGGGAGTGATTTGAATGCAATATTCCTGCTTCTTGGCAGGGGGTTGGACTGAATGGCCCATGAGGTCTCTTCCAACTCTTTGATTCTATGATTCTATGATTCTATGAACATATTTCCTGGCCCCCTCATATTTTGAGTTTGCACTAGCCGTGGCCCGGCTTTTTAATTGCTATGAACAGGCAGGATTACTTTTAATATACATTTGTTATTGTGATAATTTTATGCTTCTGTTGTTTTGTTAATTTTATGTTATGCTGTTTACTTTGTATGGTTCAGTGATGTTACTTGGAAACCGCCCTCGGGGAGATAGAGCGGTATATAAATAAAGTTTTATTATATTATTATAAGGTCTTGCATCTTCCCTAGCACAGAGTTGCGGGTGCCTTACTAAACTACATTTCCCAAGATCCCATTGAGCCAGGGCAATTCAAGTGGAGTCAAGCTGCAGTCATCCTCTGGTGGAGATGCACCCCTGGGTTGTGCAGAATCCAATAAAGAAGAATTCTGCACAAGGGAGCGGGACTGTTCCCTTAATCTCTGTAGGCACGATGTGCCTATGGATGCAGCTGAGAATGGCATTGGCTATTTTCGCTGCCACACTGTTGACATTCAATCCTTGCCCCAATTCTCTGCTTGAAGCAGGAATGTCAAAAGGGAGATACATTTGACTCCGACTAAACTAGATGGACTCCTTCCAGCTGTTTGCTGATAGTGAATGGCATGTAGCCCCCTCCCACACACACCCTTTCTTCTTCTTCTTCTTCTTCTCCTTCTGCTTCTCTTTTTCCATCCCTTTCACCGCACAGGAGGCACCTTCCAAAGCATCTCTCCTCCCCAATCCTCTGCCACCCAAGGCGTTTTCCCGTCTAACAGGTAGAAGGCGTCACCAAGCCTTTCCAACTCCCCACTATTGGCTGGATTCGAGACCCCACTTGGCTTTGGAGAACTTAACCGCAAGGCCGCAGGCGTCTTGTTCCCCAGCAAGGTGACCCCCTGCTCCTTTGCGCTGTGCCATTCCATGTCCAGTTCCTCAGAGGAGCCGGGCTCCTAATACTTTGTGACAGCTTGACTTGAACGTCCTGAAAGACCCTGGCAGAAAAGGCAGAGAGGCAGCCACAAGGAAAGGAAGGGGGGGGGGGGAATTGTCTGTTTAACTGGATACCTAGGATTCATCTACTGACCATTCTGATGATCTACAGAATGGATGCAGTTTGATCTCACTTGCACTGTCACGGCTCAGTGTGTGGAATCCGAGGAGCTGCAGTTCGGTTTTTTGTGTGTGTCAGAAGCGACTTGAGAAACTGCAAGTCCCTTCTGATGTGAGAGAATTGGTCGTCTGCAAGGATGTTGCGCTGCGGACACCCGGATGTTTTGATGTTTTACCATCCTTGTGGGAGGCTTCTCTCATGTCCCCACATGTGGAGCTGGAACTGACAGAGGGAGCTCATCCGCACTCTCCCTGGATTCGAACCTCCAACCTGTCGGTCTTCAGTCCCACTGGCACAAGGGTTTAATCCACTGCAGTTCGGTGAGGCGCTGGCATTCATGGGCCTTGGGAAACTACAACTCCCAGGATCCATGGCGGTTCGTGTCGTGTCAAACGGCATTCCCTCTTAGATGCACCCCTGTATATTTCAGGGCAGGTGGTGCACTTGGAACTGCCACGAGATACCGAGATTTGTAGTTTGCTGAGACACCAGCACTCTGTGGCAGAGAAGGCTGAAGGCCCCCCATGGTTCTGTTGCACTGAGCTGTGGCAGTTCAAGTGCGGTCAAACAGCATACGTTCCACAGTGTAGAGATGCACCCTGAGCCTGCCCGTCTGCTCGCCTACCTATGGGAGGGCGCATGTGCGCATGGCCAATTCTTGATGTTGTCCCCTCTCCTAGCCATCCATCTTCCTCTCCTGCTCCTGGTTTCCTTCCCAGCTTTTGTCTCAACTGACTCTGGGGAGGGTCCAGGCAACAGCTGCCTTTGATCAGCTCCACATCTGGGAGAGTCGGAGCAGCAGGAATGCTGCGCCGTGATCAAAGGTGGGAGCCCTCTGACAGCTGAGCTCTGTGTTAATGTGGGGGGGAGGCTGCGGAGGGTGGCCCATGGATGCTAACGTTGTCCTCCCCCTTCCACTGGCTTCAGGTCTGCCAATTCCACAGCTACTGAGGGTGCCCTTTCTCTTCTTGCTTGAAAGCCCACCCAATAACAACCAAATCCCCCCTTTCCTGCTTGGCTATACTGGCAACATCTTTGGGGTGTCTCCACACTGCAGAGTGAATGCCGTTTGACCTCACTTGAAGTGTTATGGCTCAATGCGATGGAATTCTGGGAGCTGTAGTTTTATAAGGCCTGTGGCCTTCTCTGTGAAAGAGTGATGGGGCCTCACTAAACTACAGCTCCCCACAGGACCCCACAGTGTTGAGCCATGATAGTTCAAGTAGGGTTGGATTGCATTCATTCACAGTGTAGAAGTGCCCAGAAAAGGACAAAGACATTGTAAAGCTACAATTCCTACAACACCTTGAGTAATGTAGTTCAAGTGGAGTCAGACTGCATTCTGATGCAGTCTTTCAGAGCTTGAATATGATATGGTGAAAGCAACCAAGGAAATTAACACACTACAGGGCACAGGCAATCCTTGAGTTA